AACAAAAACAACGGCAAAGGCACACAGTGGGTAGAGAAGCAGTATGGTGCCTGTTGTATAGGCTCCCATCTGTGATGACAGGAAGTGACTCCAACCAGGCTGGCAGCCTGGTGCTTTGTTTTCAAGAAGCTCCCAATTCACTGGTGGCAGCAGCTTTGGGCTCATGAGGGTAGAAAAGCTCTCCAGCAGCTAGGGGGCCTGCTGACCACCAGATGGAAGGAAGAGAAGCAAAACCCCCACCTACCCATTCCACAACTTGACTCCAAGTTTCTCAGGGGTTGATCTCTGCTGATTCCTTGCTCCTTATTCCACTCCCTAACTTCTTCCCATGGTATCTCTAGTAGTTTCTGGCACTTTTGCCTCAGAATTACACCTGCATTATGTCTTTTTTCCATCTAAAACTTTTCCCTCTTTCCGACATGATCTGGTGACCAATGTCTCTAGTGAGCCATCTTTCTCACTCTTTTTTTTCCTATAGTTTTGTTTTTTAGTACTTTCTCTGGATCTGTTATGGAGGTAATTTTGGCTTCATCAATTGATTTTAATGAGTGTTCCCTCCTCTTTTATTTTCTGAGAGAGATTGTACAGGTTTGGTTTTATCTTTTCTTTAAATGTTTCGAAGAATTTGCCAGTGAAGTCATTTGGCTCTGAAGATTTCTTATTCAGAAAAAAGTTTAACAGGAATTTTTCTTTTATCATTTTTGCACAATTTAGGTTATTTATTTCATCTTGAGTGAGTTTCATTAATTTGTAGTTTTGAGAAATTGGTCATTTCATCTAAGTTGTTAAATTTATGTGCAGAGAATTGTTATTATCCTTTTAGTGTCTACTGGGTCTGTAATCATAACCCTCCTTTCATTTCCAATATTGAAAATTTGTGTATTCTCTCTTTCTTTATCAATCTTGCTGGAGTTTTTATCAATTTTACTGATCTTTTCAAAGAACCAGCTTTTGTTCTATTGATTTTCTCAGTTGTTTTTCCATTTTCAACGTAATTATTTCTACCTTTAACTTTGTTATATCTTTCCTTCTGCATGTTTTACATTTATTTTGCTCTTCTTTTTTCTAGTTTCTCAAATTAAAGACCTAGGTTATTGATTTGAGATGTTTCTTCTTTCCTAATATAAGCATTTGATACTATAAATTTTCTTCTAAGCACTGCTTCAATTACATCCCACAAATTATGATATAGTTTTATTTTAGTTTTGTTCAAAATATATTCTAATTTGTCATGTGACTTTCTCTTTGTCCTACAGATATCTAGATGTGTGATGTTTAATGTCCAGATGTTTGTGACTATTCTTATTTTCTTTCTGATACCCTACTTTAATTCCTTCATGATCAGAGAGTTTACTTTGTATAATTTCATTTTATTAAATTTGTTAAGTTTTGTTTTATGACCAGGATATGTTCTATCTTGGTGAATATCCCATGTGCACTTGAAAAGAATGTATATCTCCTGGTGTTCTTGGTTGTAGTGCTTATAAATATCTATTAAATCCAGCTGGTTGATGATGTTCGTTTATAACCTTGCCCTTGCTGATTTTCATCTACTAGTTCTACCTAATATTAAGAGAGGGCTGTTAAAATCTCCAGCTATAATTGTGGATTTGCCTATTTCTCCTTTCATTTTGGTCAGTTTTGATTCGTGTATTTTAAGCTCATTTTTTGGTGCATACATGTTTAGGATTATTATGTATTCTGATGTACCTTGCATCATTTGCCCATCATTATGCAGCATCCCTCTTTATCTTTGGTAATTTCTTTGCTCTGAAGTCTATGTTGTCTGATATTAATATAGTCACTCCAGCTTTCTTTTGATTGGTATTTGCGTAATACATATTTTTCATCCTTTCACTTTAAATCTATCTGTATCATTATATTTGAAATGAGTTCCTTACATTTCTACAACTGCATCTGTGTCCAGGGTCAGGTGTTAAGAGGACAGAGAGAGGAAAAATCTGATGGTTGGCTGCTTTAGAATTACACCTCCACCAATAGAGAACTTGGCATCTCAGTCTTCACATTTCCAAAATGTTTGCTTGAGTATAGTTATAAAGTTGAAATGAAGGAGCTGGGAGAGAAATAACATTTGAAGACAGAGGATGCAAAACTACTCCAAACACTAGCTAACTGGTGCTCAAACTTCAGAGAATATGAATATGAAAAGAATTCTATTATAAATCCAAATTCCTAGGCTACATCTACAGATATTCTGCTATGGTAGTTCTGAGCTAGGGTCTGGGAAACCACACCATCATGTCCCAAGTGTTTCTGATGCAGGGAGTCTAAAAACTTTTTCCTAAGTAATGGTTGCAGTTGGGCACCTAATATTATGCTGCCAACTTGGAACTCATTACTCAAGGACAAGGCAAGCCTAAGTAAGTCCTTTCACATAGACAACTGGATAAGGCTGGGAAATTTAAAATGTGTTTCCACTGCACTTCAACTTAGATTTTTTTCTCTTTCCTTATAGGCCAATTTTAGCACAAGAGATATTTTTTAGCTGGACTCATCTATTCTAATTAAATAAAGTGATTCTGAAAAGGCTTGTTGTGATTGATACTATATAAAAAGCAAGATTGAAAATAATTATGTAATTTGTTTAGTTCTTCATTTATTTCTCCCCCTCTTACATATCTACTTTCTCTGATCTTCTAAACTATTTTTTATTTAATATTTATAGAGTATCCAGGGTAGAGGAATTGCTAGTTTTTACAGTCTTTGCCCTCAACAAAGCCTTGTGTGACCTGCATGTATGTCTTGCATCTTCGGCAATTCTATCTCACCAATATACCCTCAACCTTCACTTAGAGATATAAAAACAAGCTATTTTCTTAGCATAATTGCTTTCTTCTATGATATGATAGATAGTTTTAGAGTCACCTTGTGATACTAGTAGTTTTATCTTTTTTAGATCATTTGAATTATAACTACATTTCATGTGGATTCTGAAATAATAACAGAAGCGAATCATCATGTCTTCAATTCTGAACATGCTAAATAGACTATAACGTTTTTTGAAGCAATCAATCTACCATAATGATGCCCAACAATGATGATTAGACAGTGATGTCCTTGAAATAACTGTCAATTTTGTTTCTCTGAATGAAATAAGAGTTCCTCAGATTTGGCAATGAAACCATCATTAGGAATATATATATAATATTATGGAATTCAGAACAGGTTACTTCGATGTTATCATTTTTGTCACTATTTTTGTTAATGGAGAAGGGTGATAAAATGTCCTAGATGTATATTGTAATACCTTCCTGACCACAAGATGTTGATTTAGTATTTTACTAAGAGTAATTCACTAAGTGATATTGTAGTGTCCTAGAAGAGTTTCTATACTTCTGAAAGGTGAGCAATTTCCCCCCTCACCTCTGAAAAACTGAGTCTGATACTGTTGTGGACAGCTAAAATGAGTGATTGCCTTGGAGTTAAGAAATAGAATGGACATACTATTTTTTATCCTAGTTTACTTTTCTAATACTGCTAATTTTAAGTGGTCCCTTGTTTGGGGAAAGTCATATCATTGCTTGAATGAACTTGAGTTTCTCACCTTAGAAGCAGGTTCTCCTACCACATTGAGGAATTTATAATGTCCAGTAGCACGAGAACTATAACTACCATGATAGCACAATTGAAATTTGAAAAATAAGATATGCAGGTCTGTGCAAGATTTGGGAAGTAAAAAATAAAATAGTATGAGATTGGGGGAGAATTTTTGTAAAAAGAGGTAAATAATTTTCTAAGAACAATATTTGTACAGGTTATTGTTGCTATAGGCATGCCCAGGGAAAATCTGGAGTATCTAGGGTTGCTGGGCACTATTTAGGTGGCATTACTATGTTGCGATCTGTTCACTCTGCTTATCATGCTATATAGATGTTCTTATGTTTGCTTTTCTAATTGGTGTTTGACCTAGTGATATTCTTTTTGATTCATGTGTTATCTATTTCCTCCTGTGACCAGTAACAAATAGGAGAAACAGTTATTCAATTCAATGGATATTTATCTAACAAAAGAAATAAAAATTGATGCCTTTTTTAGTATATAGGTTTAATTGCTGTAACTAAGATATTTCAAATAACAGCAGCTAAAACAAGATAGAAAATTGTTTCTCTCTCATATAAAGTTTGAGTGGGAGCTCTGGGGTTGATATGGTAGTTTCACCTTCATCAGAGGCCAGGATAGTTTTGTCGTATTACTCTACCATCTTTGACACGTTTCCACCTCATGCTCCCACCAGACCATCTGCATTTCAGCAAGCACAAAGGAGGAAAGATGGAAAGAAAAACTACATCACATCTCTGTTCACATTATGTTTACTCACATTCCAATGGCTATAACTTGATCAAATGGCAATACTTAGTTGCAGGGAAGGTTGGGAAATGTGGTCTTTATCTGGATGGCCATGTTACTAAAGAGGGAATGCATATAGTTTGGACAACTGGAGGTTGCTATAATAAGTATACTCAGATTTCTTCCCTCAGTGAGCTTAAAATATTCTGCAAACATTAAAAAAACTATACATAGTTAACTATAATACAAGCAGGGTAAAATAAGTATGAAATAATAATTGCATGAAATGCTATAGATTGAGGGAAATATTAATATGATACACACGTTTATCATTTTAGAAACAGATAGGACATCCAGGAATAAATAGAAGCCCAACAGATATTGAAACTGTACATTTAGATAAAGGAGGAAATTTCTTAGTATAGGAGGTATTAGAGTATCTGATAAATAGGATTTTTTCAATCTTCACCTGCTCCTACCCACCCAAAGGCTCTGAGATGCTTCCATACAATCCAGTGTGTTTTACTTCATGGGGATGGGGAAAGCAGGAAAAAGATGATGGAGACTTATTTATCTAAATCCTTCACAAATGTTAAAGCCTCATAAGAAAAGATAATTCTCTTTATCAGGTATGTCTGCCTGTCTGACAGAATAGGGTCTTTGATTTTCTTTCTGCTTCTTTTGCCTTTCAGGGTGCTTCTCAGGAAATAATGATCACTTTTTGGCAATTAATCAGAAGAAGAGTGGGAAGCCAATATTCATTTATCACCATTCACAAGACATTGAGAAGAGCCTGGATATAGCTCCACGAAAGATATACAAACATAGCTACCATTCCTCTTCTGAAGCTCAAGTAAGCAGACGCCACCAAATTGTTAATTCAGCATTTCCTAGACCTGCGTATGACCCGTCTCTCAATCTGCTGGCCATGACTGGTCAAGATCTTGAAGTGGAAAATCTTCCAATCCCAGCAGCAAATGTAATTGTGGTGGTAAGTATTACCATTTCCCTGGCACCAAGGCTGTTGCCAGTGCTTTCCTCTGTCACTGATGCTTGATAAAAAAGACTAATTGTAAATGGTCATTATTGAATCTCAGTGATTACTTACCACAGCACTTCTTACTCTCCGATATTTCTCTTTTCTTACTTGATTATTGCCTGTTTTCTTCCTCCTATGAAATCAGAAAATGTGTCTGTATCCTCTGTTCATAGCACAATGCATGGTACATGATAGCTGCTTAATAAATATTTGAATGAAAAATTGCTTTAGGAAAGCCTTGTAGTTATAGCTGATCATATCCTGTCCTCAGCCTCCTGCCTTCTGTGATAATCAATTTTAAGCAGATAGGCTTTACTCTTGGCCTGCCTAAATAAATAATCTTATTAAAGATCCTCTGGTCACTTGACTGAGATTGTAATAAATGAAGAAACAACTAAAGGAAAAGAGTGCTGTAGGGGGAAGGTAGTTTTCTGTTGCTGGAGCAAATAAAATGGGTTGAGAGTAACTGATGAATACCATTCCTCATATCACTGAACAAACATCATCCTTTATTAACCAAAGCAATGTAATGGTCCCATTGCTTACATTCTTACCTTATGTAACCCAGGTCAGAGGTTCCTAATTTATGGAGGTATCATAATTTAAATACATGTTGAGGTTGACACCCTATTTGAACTATAGTCCCCCTCAAATTTAACATCATAATAGGAGGATCTTCATTAAAGCTATAAGTCAGAGGCTAAATGGTTGTTACTGCATTTATATCCCCAAATATAATCAAATGAGTTGATTTTTGAGGCCAAGATAATTCAATAAAACCATGTTTGCATTTTGGCGACCTCTTTATGCACCAAATGTGATTAAATTTAACAAGCTTTTTTTTTCTTTATTTTTTAATCTACTACTTATAGTACACTTTACTTTGTATTAAGAATCAACGATCCATTCATTGATGCTTCTAAATTGCATAGATTGTGTATTTATTATGATCCAGTTTTCACTTGGGGTATTTGGAAATGGAGACAAATGAAATAGAGTCTCTGATTTTGCTTGGGAAATGCCTGGGAAGAAATGTAAATAATTTAATAAAAATTGTAAATTGAGAACACAAGATGAACTCTTGTTAGGAGAAAATATGTGGGTTGTTTGGCATCCTGAAATATTTGAATAAGTTTTCTGCATTTATATGAGTAGCAGATGTTCTGAAGGTGAAAGTCATGTACTCTGTCTATTCAGTGAAGACAAATGGTGTTAATGATGTCTCTGTATCTGGATATGTTCATGTGAATGCTGGAGCTCATGGGAGATATTTCCTCTAGTGACCATTGTATACCCATAATGGTCAACTCAAAGTCACTGTGAATTACAGTTCAGGAGGTTTGTTCTGTCTTATAATGTTGTATACCGCCTAGTTAATTTAATTTTATGGATGATAAAAGGCATCAATGAGGAATTCTGGCAGGTCATTTCACTTTTAGCTTATTTACGGTTTGGAGATTCACGAAGAAGCTGTGCTTTCTCTTTTGGGTGATGATTACATAGAGGCAATGGGCAATTTTGCTACATTAGCCTTCCCTAACCTCTTTTGATCTAGCCTCTAACCATGTTGTGGATTTGGTAGCTGACAACAATTGCTAATGCTAATACTTCCTGTAATTCACTTGCATTACTCATGCACATGATGATTTAATAGGAAAATCAGGGATTTGAAGTTATTTCTCAAATAAATCAGTAATGTTCAGCTTCCTCAAAAAGCAAAGGGAAAACATGCAATTAAATACGAGCTGATCTGAAGGTCCATTCTATCCAGAAAAGTGATTTTCTGGATAAATGGGGCATAAAGGATGCAAGGGATATATTCTGGGGCAGCATCACTTTAATGGAATAATCTATGTGTGTTTGCGCATATAGGGTGTACATGTATTAAAAACATATATATCAATGCAGATTTTATTGCTTGAGGAATAGAGAATTCTTTTGTGGCTTAATTTATACCAAAATGAGCAGTGTTAATTAGTAACAGTTTCTTAAACTGGGGAAATTATGGGAATTTTTTTTTTTCCAGCCAGGGTGAAAAGCTATCCTCAACTTCCAAAATTTATATGTAACTTCTAAGACTTCCTAGCTCAGAAGAAGAAATCATTTTTTCTCCTCCAATATTTCTCTCTCTCTTATTTCTGCTATCATTGACAATGACTTGTAGAGTAAGAAATTTAAGAGGGACATGAAAGATACACGTGTCCCTCCTCCCTTCTGATTTCCAGTTTCTGCCACAAAGCATTTCATCAGAGCATTTGTCCACAAATGAATTTTTTTTCTTTTTCTTCTTTCTTTTGTAATCAGGAAAATCTGTAGTTTATTTGTTACAAGGAGAGGACAGCACAATTAGAACGTTTATCCGAAAGAATATTAATTATGTTCCAGAAACTCAATTAAGAAGCTGTTATTAGGACTCCTGTGCAAGTACAATGTACAGAGGATATGAATGGCTTCAAGGTCAGTGCTGTGGTAAGAGGGAAAAAAGGTGTGCGGGAAATTCCATAGCTCTTATCCTAGGATTCCTAGGACATTTGTCAAGCCACAAGCCACAGCAGCAGGAAGGAGGGAACCTAGAAATGCGAGTGAAAGTGGTGGGGTGGAAGCCTTTCCAGTTCCGCAGAGGTTGCTGTGTGAAGAATGCTCTGGCCTAGGCAAAGCCTGAGAAAACTGGGGACTATGAAGGCTTTGGAATACAAGGGTGATTTTTAGGGGCAGTGGAAAGGACATGAAGGTGGGGAGATTATGGCCTACTCCACAGGGTGGACTCGAGGGAAGGAAAATAAAGGAAAGAAAAAGAAGGTGGAGAAGGAGGACCTGGAGGAGGAGGGGAGGAGAGAAGGAATGTCAGGGAAGGGAGCGGGAAGGGAGGAGAGGATACAGAGGCAGTTCTCAGGGCAGTGGGAAGACTTCTGTGAGCACACAAGAAGATGATGGTGAGTTACCAGGAGCCTCAGATGGCCTCTGTGAGAGTCCTAGAATCCTAAAGTTTCTTGTTGTGCTTGCCACTCACCCAGACTAGCACACAGACCTTCCATTACTGTTTTTGTGACACAAAACACGCACTGCAAATATTTTTATATGGTATTTGACTTAGAAAACTGCGAAGGCCAAAAACTCTGTATAATTCTGGATTTCAGTTACATCCCAAACTCTGGTTTATGCCTCACCTCAGCTTTGTTCTGCTCTTGACTAGTTTTTGAGATTCGTATTACAGGTAAAGAGATTATCCCTAGATGTGATTTGAAGGGCTTTGAAAATCCAGTTCCCTCACTGCCTTGCCATGGTAAAGAAATTTTGTGGCATTTACTGTGTTGCGTGATGTGGATAAATAATTGTTGGATATTTTTTCAATAGATAAATTGGTTTAATTTTAGCGTTTGTGTAGTGAATGTCCCAAAGGGTGGGCTTAATCTATGTACATACCAATGGAATTCAACCATGTCAAGGAAGATGTATTGGTGAGGAATATTTTATTGCAAGTGATAAGAAATTTAACCCAAATTAGAGAAAATTTAGTTGTTTAAGTACCAACACTTCTGTAGTACATCTAGCTTTAGGTATGGTTTAATCAAGGGCTCACATAATAGGACCAGGATCTATCTCCCAACTCTGCTTCCTCTGGAGTGACTTTATTGTCTCACTGATTCTCTTCTTTTATCCTGGAGTTTTGAAACTCCAGAAATTTCATTCTTGCAAGTTCATGCTCACTTGGAAGTTCACGCTCACTTGGAAAGGGAATCTCTTTCACGACTGCCAGTAATATCCTGGGCTTCCCTATGACTAGAACAATGTAAGTGCTCACTTCACCCCCCACCCCCGGAGCAATCTGTGGCCAGGTGATGAGATTAGGCTAATTACCTCAAATCTAAGTCACTTGCCTCATTCCTAGAGTTTCCCTAAAAACCTAGGAACCATATGCAGGAGAAAAGGTACCTGATTGAAAATTGGGACACTATTAATAAGCAAAGGTAAAATAGACACTAGATAGCAACTCAGTGTGTGCTATTAATAAAGCACAGTATGTGAACTTCAGTTTTTATGAAGACACCATAGTCCCTTCAAGCAACCCTAGGGATATAAGGACTTATAACTTAGCATCAGGAAATGATTCCTGTACAAGTATTCTGGAGGATTCCTGAGTTTTGAGAAGTTTGGAAAGGACTACACACAAGCTGGCCTGTCTCTGCATCTCTGTGTTCATCTCCCACCCTCCCTGACTCCTCACAACCTGCTCTGGGCCTTCTCTCTGCCTCTGGACAGCAAACCTATTGGTGGATCAGGAATTTTGTCCTTGATATTTTCCTGCCTACAATAATGCCTTTCCTGCAAATCTAATGTCTAGCACACAATGGAAGTTCAATAAACATTTTTAAATTAATAAATACATGTCAAATAACAAAATGCAGTTGTTTTTTTGACACTGAGATTATGAACGTTTTTATAGCATTTTTTCTCTCAACTTACAATGATTTTTCTACTTCTGTCTTCACTTTATTGCTTAAATTTTCAACAGACAGCTTGGACAATTTTCAGAAACAAATTTCAAAAGTAGAAATGTGAAAACAGAAAGAATATAAACATTGGGAACATATTGCATCTCTGAAAGAAGGAGGGCTCTGTCTTACACCTTAGCCAGAGTGACACTCTGTTTAAAACTATTGCTTCCGAAGACATTTATGTCCAACTTCCTACTTCATTTTTCTTCATAGCACTTATGTCCTTCTAGCTACTGTCTTTTATGTATTTTCCACAAGGTTGAGATTTTCTGTTTTGTCCCTGCTGCATCTCCAGTGCCTAGAATAGTACCTGGTCCATAGTAGGGCTCAATAACTATTTATTTAATGAAAGAATGAGTTGATACCAAAAGAAACATAATTCAAAACCTGATAATTAAATAAGTCATGTAGCTTATTATCAAGAAAATAGGATTAAGTGCACAATTTTAGCGTGTA